GGTTTACAGCTGTTAAGTGTCGCCAACTCTTGTCGCCTTTTTAACTGTTTTAATACCCTGCACCTATTCGAAATGATTAAAGTGGGTGTATTGTTTTTCTGCAAGCAGAGGGAGGCAAACTTTATAAAGTATATAAAAGTTAGATCAAGATGTTGAGTTCAGTGCATCTGTCCGTCTGTCTGTTGGTCTATTATAAAAGCTAGATATGGGAAATGCTAAATATATATTCTCGTATACCTTACGTATTTATATATCGATATTTCCTCACTAAGCTTTATACAAATTAAAAATCTATCAGTTTTTACATAACTTCCCCTAGAAATAAAGCGGTAGAACCCTGCGCTTTGTTATATAAATGCTTTTGTGTACCGAGCTTTAGCCTTATAGCAAAAAGATCGGACCATAAACACCGATTTTAGCTAGATTAAATGTGAAGGCAGCTTGGCTTAGGGTATTCTCAAGTCGTGCACTCCTCACATAGAGCACTCTTACTTGTTTTAAATGCTTTTTCGTTGCAGTTGTTAAGTTTGACAAAAAAAAATTTGTAAACTGGTTTGCGGCGAGGCTTGCGCGCAAATGACCCCCGAGTGGCTAGTTTCAGAAAACCGAAAACAGAAAACAGGTCATAAAAATGATTTAACTCGACTTAAATCGAGCGCGCCGCATTCAGCAGCCTCTCAATGAGAAGACTTGCTTGCCCTTTGTTGCAGTCCATAAGGGCTTCAGATTTGCATAAATATAATATAAATACACTTACGTGTACGGGTCTCTTAAGAAATTTAATTCATTTTAAGCAGTTCCCACGAATGCTGCAAACAATGGCATCTTAAGTAAAAAGGCGCTATAAAAAGCTATTGTGCTCAAAAGCTATTTCAATATAAGCTAATTTGCAACTTTGCGCTCTTCAAGCTATTTCAGTCCTTAAAGTAAATATAAAGAAATTAATTTAAGATTAAATTTGCATATCTATTTTATGCTTTATATTCACTAACAATGCTTAAAACGGGTTTAATGAAGTTGTGCATGCATAAAAGTAAACGCATTACAATCGCCCTTCTATGCGATTTTCATAGCTTCAAGTAAGGCCTCCACATTTTACGTTTTTTGGTTAGTTTTTGGCGCTCTGTTTTTGTTTTACTCTGTTTTGTCTCCCTCTCTCTTTTTCTCTCTCTCCTTATCTGGCTCTGTGGTATTCACTCTCTCTCATTCTCTTGCTCTGTGGCTCTCCCTCTCAGCCTCTCTATGCGATTTTCATGAGTTAAGATAAGGCCTACAGATCACAGGTCAGTGTTAATATAAAGGTGCCTTGCTTTTTTTCTCCTTCGCTCTTCCCCATTTTTTGGCTCTTTCTCTTTTTGTCTTTGGCCCAAATCTGGAGGCCTGTACTTACAGGGTAAACCCAAGTCGACTAATCCACTTTTATATTCCCCCTTTGCCCTATCGGTAACAAGCATATAAACATTTTTCTAGCCACAACAATAATAATTAATCAGAAATAATTATCATATCTTAAGGTTGCGCTGGTGAAAAATTGAAACAATTCCAGATGAAATGGAAACGTGAACCGAGCCATTTATTAACTCAGATGCTGTAGTCCATTAAGACAGCGCCCACACACACACACACACACACACACACACGCACACACGCACACCCGCCGGTTCACCTTTTGGCCTGGCGCTGACTCAGAGAAATGCGTCTCTGAGTCTCATCAATTTCTGCCTCGATGTTCAATAAAACTAAATCGTAAATCAATAAGCTGCACTCAGAGTTCAGACCCAAAAAAAAAAAAAAAAACAGAACTTCGGCTCTTTCTTCGACTTTCGAGGGAGGAAGTGTAAGAGAAAGAGGAGCCAAGTTTGGTCCGTTTGCGTTTTCTTGTAAAACTTTTAACAGTTTTAAATTTTATTTTTGATTAATTGGCCTGCAATACAATTTCATGTGAAATATTCAATTTTGATTGATGTTTTTATAATTTTACTTGCCCGAAAGCTGTCCCAAAAATTGGACACTTTAGCTGAGCACAGCAGCTGCTTATATAAACATGCTGTGCGCGGCAGTGCTCGACTAGCCGATACCCTACAGTAAGCTGATCTCAGAGACATTTAAGCTTCTTCCTGCTGCGGCTGTGCTTCTTCTTTTTTCTCGCCACATTCCATATGGCAAATTCTTGAGGAATTGCGATGCTTATTGCGCTAGGGTTTACCATTTTTGGGGCAAATGGTTTTAGATATTAAGCTCTTGGGAAAGACTACAAACCAATATTCCTGCCTTTAGAAGACTTTTAATTTCTATAAGAGAAGTGGAAGGAGATATCCACAAAAGCTTATAAACATATTCGCCTCTCTTTTTTCGTATATCTATCCCTTTCTTTCTATCTCTTATTGTCTCTCTCGTTTTATTATTATTATTCTCTCACTTACCCAAAGAGAAAGATATTCACAAAAACTTAAAAACGTATCGTATCATACATTCAAATATATCTTCTAACTCTTAAGTCTTTATCTAAATCCGATCAGTTCATTTTCCTGATCCATAATTTATATCTTTTATAGACTTGTAGCTGCTTCCTTTCACGTGTTACATGCATTTCCTCCTAAACAATATGCCCATTTTTAACATTTATTAATACTATCAACCAGCAGCAGCAGCAGCAGCAGCAACAGCTCTCGTTGTGGCACATTGTCTCGCTTGGTTTCGACTCAGGTTTTCTTCAGGTGTGTGTGGGGAGTGGGAGGTGTTAGGGGTCTTTAGTCAAAGCCACAGGTGTTCGGGCGTTGGAACAATTAAAAATTCAAATTTAATTTTAGTCTAAACGTTTCTAAACAAAGCCAATGAAGCCATTCGGCCAGACAAAGTCTGGTCACAGCAGGCAGTCGCCGGATCCGGCAAAGATTTATGCAGTTCGTCGGAATGGGAACGCATGCAGCATGCGAGGCGCGGGCAGCGGGGCAAGGGTCAGGAGGAGGGTTCGTTGAGCATGTTGCACTCTGTTGGCACAGTTTCTTCTTGGAACGAAAACTTCCGCATTTTGTTGCTGTTGCCGGCGCCCTTAATTCTGCCTGCACCATGTTGTTGCATAAATAACGTGAGAATTATGGCGGCAAGCAGGCAGCACATAAATATGCATGTGCAGCAAATAAAGAAATTGTTAAATGTCCCAAGTGGCCGAGCACTGCGGACTGCGGACTGAGGACTGAGAACTGAGCTTGTATATGGCCCAAGTTAGCTCGCAAATTTTGGTGTGCGCAACGGTTCACGTCCAGCTGCAGGCACCGGCTACCAGATCAAGCTCTCAGCTCCCAGCTCTCAGCTCCGGCTCTCAGCTCCAACTTGATCCCCAACTGCAGCCGGTAGTCAAGAGTCAGTCAGTCAGTCGTTGACCACGTCACGCGCCTGCAATTGTTTGGCTTTGGCCCGCATTACCAATTACGACACCAGCAGCAGCAGCAGCAACTGCCCCTCCCCCTCGCACCGTTCCGCCCCTCGTTCCAGCTACTTGCAATTTATGGCCAGTTTGCTTCTTTTATTGTCTTGACTTTTTGGCAGTTCGAAAATCGAAATATGGTATAGCCAAAAAAAAAAGAGGAGAAGAAAAAACAAATTCAAAAACCGCTTATTATCAGCATTTATGTGTTGGCCTGCTTGCGGCCAAAAAGGTCTCGCGTTGTGTTAACAGATTTACAGTTTGACAGCCAGCGCAAATACAAAAATAATATTTACACACATTTCAGCGTAACACTTGTAATATAGCTTTGCTAAGTTTATGCTAAGATACAAACGGCTCTACTACATTTAGCTCAGTTTTCTAGCTGTTCTTATAGACAAACAGTTTGACAGCCATCGCAAAATACTCATATTGAAATACTTCTAGTATTTCATATAGCTACTGTTAGCTGTTTCTAGCCGATTTCCAGCTGTCTTTATATATATATGTTAGCTGAGTTTAGCTCAGTTTTCTAGCTGTTCTTATCGACAAACAGTTTGACAGCCATCGCAAAATATTCATATTGAAATACTTCTAGTATGTCATATAGCATAAGATATATAATTTATGGAAATTAATTTCTAGCTGTTTCTAGCCGATTTCTAGCTGTCTTTATATATATACAGTTTGACAGAGACTGCTTGAGAAATATATTTGTAGCCTTGCTACTTTATAGTACAGTCTACAGCTATCAACTGGGGCTTCTAGTTGTTCGTATAGTGGCACAGTTTGAGAGTCACTGTTTTTAAAATATTCACACAGAAAGATTAACAGCAAAAGTGAACAACATACTTGTGAACTGCTAGCTTTGCCTAATTTTTGGTAAGCGTTGTTCTCTTTAGTTGTCCTTACGTTTATACAGTTTGACAGTCAAGTTGTAAACAAATGTGCGCTACAAATTCTAATCAAATGCTAACTTTGCCAAATTTCTAGCAGTCACTGTGATATCTGCTTGTGCTCAGAGTTAAACAGTTTGACAGTCATACATATTTAATATATTTGCCAGTTTGACAGTCACAGTGAAAAAGAATTTAGCAAAGTCAGCATATAACTGAAGTACGTCAGAAATATTTTAGTAGCGATAAAATGCACAAAATATTGTCCTTAGTTAGTAAAGTTGGCTAAGTTAGCAGCTTGTGTTAAGCTCTGTATACACGAAATAATTTACTGGCTGATAAAAATGTAATGTCCCATTGCAATTGAATGCCGTGTCGCAAATTGTATTTCGCTTAGAAAAGTGTCAAGTTTTCATCGCTGATTTGCTGACAGAGAGAGAGAGACAGAAAGAGAGAGAGAGGGAGAGAAAGAGACGTGACGAGAGTTGAACACGATTTGATGACAGTCGGTTTGACATTTGTCCAGTTGGAGTCTGGCGACAGATGCGGCTGGGCGCTGGCCAACCTGTTGGCCAGTTGGCCAGTTGTCCAGTTTGTTATGACAGTAATTGGCCCGAAGTCCGGAGAAAAAAAAAAAGTGTGCCTCGTTTTTTAGTTTTCAATTTCACTTTTTGCAGGCGACACATTTGCGTGCAGCAGCGCACGATCACGATGCCGGTGAAGACAACGGAGGTGTACACGCGACCTACCTGGAAGCACGTGAGCGTGCCCTGCCCGCCGCCCACGCACACCGGCCAGATGTGCACCCGCGTCCAGCTGGTGCACGAGCAGGCCTATCGGGACGTCATCAAGCACAAGCCGGCGCAGCAAATGACCTACGATTGCTGCACGGGCTGGACGCGGGAGAACCAACGCGCGGATGCGTGCATGAAACGTAAGTGGAAACCCCATCTCTGGGTTTAACTGTCAACGGTTTAACTAATCCCACTTTGATTCCAGCCCTTTGCAGCACGCGTTGCCAGAACGGCGGCAATTGCACGGCGCCGCAGCTGTGCAGCTGTCCGGCGGGCTTTGGCGGCAGATACTGCGAGCAGGATGTGAATGAGTGCCAGACGGAGAAGCCCTGCGATCAGCAGTGCATCAATACGCCGGGCTCCTACTATTGTCGCTGTCGGCAGGGCTTCGTTCTGCAGGCGGATCAGCAGAGCTGCCGCAAAAGCTCAACCCATGCGGATGATGCGTTCGAGGCGCGAGATCTGGAGAACGACATCGATGAGACGGACGCGGCGGTGGTCACGCGGCTGCAGAAGATCGAACGCTCGCTGGCCAACGAGCGAGTGCACACGAACGAGCTGCAAAAGTCGCTGCAGGCCACCTACAGCGTGGTGGACACCCTGCGCAGCAGGCTCAGCACACTGGCAAGTGCCCAAATACCCATCCAATTGGCAGGCAAATAATATCCGAGTTTTCTTTATTGCAGGAGAAGCAGGCGCTGGATGTGAACCGCATGCAGACGAATCTCTACAAGACAGAGTCGCGCACCAACAAGCTGGAGAGCATGCTCAATTTGCTGATGAAGTGCCGAAGTGGCCCCAACGCGGATTGCCCCTAATTGAACGGGGGGGGGGGGGGGGGCGTGGGGCCAGCGCCAACACAGAACTGCATTTTATTACGCTCTAGAAATTAAAATGGTTTAGTTTAAGCTAAAGAAACTTATCTATTTTCGTTTGTGTAACTGTAGCCCATCCCGCTTGTAAGCCATTCCCGAACGCAAGTGCCTCCGTAGTTTATAAAAAGAAAAAGAAAAAAATGTAGTACTTAAGCGCACGTGTCATAAATGTATGTATTAAAATCCAATGCTCTAGTTGTAATCTGCTATGTGTCTAGTATTTGTATATATTTAAATATATATGTATCTGTCTTTATATATATAAGAGTGTGGCGCTAAATATACTTTTGTATTCGCCACATTTTAAATTTGGCGCGCTAGTCTACAGAGTAGTTAACAGTATAGCGCTGTTAACAGCACAGCGCAACTTAACAGTACAGCGCACTTAACAGTGCCATGTGAGTGCGCAGAGCATTTAACAGTGCAGCATTTCAAAGTGAGCACATTCAGTTGAGAGCAGTTGGCAGCGCCGGTCGGCAATCATAGTGCGCAATGTTGATGCGTGCATTAAAGTAACAAAACACGTAACAAGTATTTAAATATTTATAATGTGCATATTTATAATGTTTTATTAACAAATTATTAGGTAATCCATGCTAAATACATGCCATTAATGTCAATTAGTATATGTGAGGTCACAATGTATGTAGCATATGTGTGTAGAGACATGCACACAAGCGTTACCCGTATTTTTGCACTTTGCAAGTGAATTATCAAATACGAAAACAGCTGAAATTTTAATTGAACCAAAACAAAAGAAAGTGTAATCAGTGGGAAACGCAATTTGAAAAATGCATTACTAATATTTGCTGTGCACAAATGAAGCTGCGTAGCAAGTAAACAATTCATATAACCACAAAGCAGATATTGAGCAGTTCCTCGTGTGTTTGGATGTGGGTATCGCCCGCCCGCCCGCAGAACTCCATTGAGAAATTAATTAATAAACAAAAGCCCCGATCAGTACAAAGTGCAAAGATGACGGAGGATACGAAGCTGGCGCTGCGGCAGGCCGAGGTGTCGGTACAGCGTTTCCGGGACATGGCCGTGCCGCACCAGCTGAGCCTGCTGGAGAATCATCGCAGCAACATCGAGAAGAGCCTGGCCCTCTGCGACTGGCAGAAGATCAAGAAGGAGGAGCTGAATGCGCTGCGTGTCATCAAACAGATGAAGAATCTGCTGTTGGAGATGGACGCGCTGCGCGACAAGCTGCAGCCGGAGGATCAGGCGCGTTTCGATGAGCTGATGAAGCCAGGGAAGGACAAGGCCTTTGAGGGCATGAGGAGATTTGCAGGTAAGTCCGCTCAAGTCTAGATCTGTAGTCTGTAGTCTAAAGAATGCCAAGTAGAACTGCAGCTAAAGTCGCCCAGCTCCGCGCGTGGCTCGCACTACGACGAGGATCAGGACAATCCGGCCGTCGTGGACATTGAGCAGGTGCCCGCGCTGCAGCACACGCTGCCGCAGCTGCAGACGAACTTCCAGCTGGAGCAGCATCAGCTGGCGCAGCGGCAGGCGTGCCTGGACCAAATGGAGCGACTGCAAAACGAAATCCACGATCTGCACGGCATGTTCCACGGCCTGCGGCAGCTAACACAGGAGCAAGCGGTCAGCGTGCAATCCATTGCCGACAATGCCGAGGAGGCGCTCGAGAATGTCCAAGCGGGCGAGGGCCATCTGCGCAACGCACTCAAGTACAAGAAGGCCATGTATCCGATGGTCGGCGCACTGCTGGGCACCTGCGTGGGCGGACCCATTGGCCTGGTGGCGGGCATGAAGGCTGGCGGCCTGGCCGCCGTTGGCTGCGGCCTGCTCGGCTTCACGGGCGGCTCCGTGCTAAAAAGCAATCCCAATGTGCTGCAGGGCAATATTGAGGAGCAGCAGGAACTAGCTGGCGATTCCAACGAAACCCTACAGCTGGCCGAGAAGTCCGAATGACCTCGCGCCCTGGCCACGACGCACATGTGGACGGCGAACACGCGTCGCCTGGAGGCGGCCACCACGGGCGTCATCTGCAGCGTGCGCAGCTATTGCGCCCTGCAGTAGGGCTTAGGGCAGGGCCGGCTAGGAGTGTCTCGGATTGTTTAGAGTCATGTGTCCAGCTGTTGATTAACTATGCAATGCAGCAGACGCTTCAGATTTGCATTTCTTCAAGTCCTTTTCGCCCAATCTCTAACCCACTCTTAGCTTAGTTTAAGCATTGAATAATATTTGTTGTTGTTTCGCCAAGGCAGTTAGCAAGTAGCTATACGAAACTTTGTCTCGACTCGACTGAATGATTGACGGACTGACTGACTGACTGATTGATGGACTGACTGACTGACTAATTGAATGATCCCCTTTACTGTAGTTACCTTATGTCCTCCCAGCCTAAGCACATGTTTACAAATTCTTCTCCCAAATTCATTTGCGAGGCGTTTCTTTAATCCAATTTCAATTGTTGGAAATGAGGCTCAAAGATATGCTGGGCCTAGTTTTTCATATCAAACTCATTTTCCAAAGAACTTTATATAAATGCATGCTTGAGACGAGATGTAAAGGTTTCTTTGGGCGAAGTTTCATATTTTCACCTCAAACTTATTTTTAGCAGCTTTCACGCAAAGAGCCTCATGTTTCACCCCTTTCTGAAATTTCACCCGCCAGCGTGTAAGAAGCTAGAAATATAGCTCCTGCACATTCTTCTTTGCCAATCTATTGACTTAGATATAAATATATATACTATATCTGTAAAGTATCTACAAAATTTAAGTTTTACGATTTTGTGTATAATTTTAAGGCTTTAATGTGCAATACAAACTCATATTGCTAACGGTTAAGTGTTGCTTGGAGGCTTCTTAAACTATGCATATATGCTTAACAACTAGGCGTGGGCGTGGCAGCTGGGCGTTGACCTTCCTCTAGAGCGGCACGTTGACCGTGGTCCAGGCCTGCTTGAAGTTCTTCTTTTGCGCGTGCTGCTTCTTGCGTAGACGCTTTGCAGTCTTCTTCTTTTTGAACCAGGCGGGATAGTTGCCGAACTGATCTTTGAGGGTTTTGCTGTTGTAGACGTGCTCCACGCCCGTCTTCTCGTTGACCTGTGCAATCGGTTTGCCCTTCTCCAGGCTCTCCTGATGCTCGTAGATCAGCTCCTGCTGCTCTTTGGATTTGGCTGCCTGCGTTGTTGCAATTTTAGTGGACATATTGCTAAATATTGCTCTCCCACTTTCGCACTTACCCGCTTAATCTCCTTGGAGGTCTTGATGTCGGCAACTTCGCCAATTTCCATTTTGATCTCCTTGCCGTCGGCGTCCAAGAGACCCAGCGTCTTCTTCAGGCGTATTAGCTCCTTGGCATCGTAGCGGTCCTTCTTGATTTTGTTCATTTCATCGCGGCGTTTCCGCGACCGATTCGAGCGACCCATTTTGCTATATAATCTGGATCAGAAGGATATATTCAATTTGCGTTGCAAATATGTCAACACGTGCAACTGCTGCTGCGCGATAGATATCGATAACATCGATGTTAGTTGCAGCCAACTTTGCGTGACGCACATTCACGTTAACAAACGCACAACTGAGCTAACAGAGTCGTGCTATCTCTCTGACTCAAATGTGCGCATGTTTTAAAACGAGAACGACTGTTAAGTTCAAATTAAAAGAGTTTGTAAAAGTAAGCTAGGAAGCCAATTTGAATGAAAAAATCTACTCAAAGTGCAGTCTCTGATCCAAATCAAAATCTCTTTTGACAAGGTAAAGAGCGTTTAAAATGATGGAGGAATATTACCTAAGAATTGGGTGACTTGGCTTTTGCAACCAACACTTTTCGCCCTTTTAAAAATGATTAATTTTTGTCGAAACTATGGAGTTTTATAATTTTTTGCTCATATACCCTCCTGTCGTAATAAGATTGGTCTGCACAAAACCAGTTTCTCACTCTCATTCTCGCTCATGGATGCAATATGATTTTTGTGTACAAACAAAAGTCAGCTGCTAATGCTGCCTGCTGCGAGAGAGCAGCCCGACAGAGAGAGAGTGCGAGCGAGAGAGCAGAAGAGAACACACTTTTCGTTTATTTGAATGGCAAAACGAAGACGCAATACCCTTAGTTATACACAATATGATATGTATTTGGGAAAATTGTTGCAATTTGACTTTAATGGAATTTGATCTGAATTTCATTTAATTTGTGTGCACATTTGTAATTTTTTAAACCAAATCGAACCAATTTATTATATAGCTGGTTTGGTAGTGATCGCTCGAAGGTAATTTCTAATTTAACTTAGCATAATTGAGTTAAACCAGGAAGCAAGCTTTATCAAAATTCTAATACTGATTCATATAGACAATATAAGGCTCGTCATTCTTGGTCTAGGGTATACGCAGTCGTGAATACCTTTCGCGCACAGGCGCAGCAACGTTTGTTGTGCAGTGGCAGCCAAAACAGGGTAACTGTGTCGAGCCCAGCTGTAGAGCCACCAACACCAACAGCCAGCCAGTTAGCAGTCCAGGTGGAGACCTCTGGATTTGGCTTCATTCGCTCGCCGTCAGTCGTCGTTAGCTAACGTCACGGAGTTTGTGTTGTTCGTCTTGCTTCTACTTCACTTAAAACTCAACCCCCCCCTAAAAAAAAAAAAAAACCAAACCCACACTCAGATACATTCTGCACAACAAACTAAAAACTCATCAAAATTGATTTAAGCTAAAAATTGTGAATAATACTTATTCCAAAAAGTGAATAAACGTTGTTGTGTGTGCAGCCAAAGGCCTTCAATTGCAGCGGATCGATCAATAAAGCAGCAGGCAGCAAGTAAGTTCACAGTTAACATCCCCATAGCAAAGTCACAAATACAAACAAACGAAAAAGTCAACGGTAAAAGCAGAGGCGAATGCAAATGCAAAAGCAAAAGCAAAGGCAAAGCAAATGCTTTGCGGAAGTCAACATAAAAATGGCATGCAAGCAGCAGAAGAGGAAGAGCGCGTTTCTTACTAAATTTACATGCACACACACAGGCGCACATATGCACATATACATGCATGTATATATGTATATATATATTACAAATCTGTTTCGAGCGCGATTTACATAGAAAAAGTGCAGCCAAGCGCTAAATAAAAAAAAAAAAAGGTAAAGAAAATACAACAAAAATTCTGATTGCAGAGTTCACACGCTGCATGTGTGTGTGTGTGTGTGTGTGACTGTGTGTGCTTCTCTGTCTGACCTGTGCGCAAA